ATAAATTACTTCCATCCACATGATTTTAGTGAACTCTCCCAATCCATAGAGGAGGTGGGACTGAGTATAGGTGTTCCCATATTTAAAAGGTGTAGCTGAGGCTCTGAGATGTTCAGGGGGTGTTCAAGGCCTGCTGGAATTCAGATCAGCAACTAGTATTCTGTCTCCATCCACACAGACACCACATGGCTTTAGAACCTAGTTAGGTAAGGCCGTTCCTCTTTCATGGGTCCAAATTTCTAAATCTAATTCATTCCACTCTGGGTGGTATGAGGGCTTGGTCTGCATCAGTGCGTGTCAGCAGGTGGTGTACAGTAAGGAGGAAACAGCAGTACACTAGAATCTCTTCTCCTTGATCTTTATATTTCCCTCCTCTCTGTCACCCTTACATGCTATTGAGCCCCTAAAAGTATTTAATGTGTTCACTGCACTGAGTGCAAGAGTTCTTAGCACCCTCAAATCCTCTGTTTAAAGGACACCTCTGAAGGTGTACCCTGAATTGGAATATTTTTGAGTTGGAAGGAACCTCATATGCCATTTGGACAGACCCTGCATTTTATAGACCAGAAAACTTAATTTTTGAACTTTTAAGATGTTGGTGTCAGCTAGTATCAGGGACAGTACTAGCACTGGGCAGCTTGAATTCAAGTGCATGCTCTTTCCACTACACAACACTGCCACTCACAACGTGGCCGTGGCATGGTATGATAGCTAAAATCAAAATTTCAAAAGATTTCTCAATTAGTTAAGAAAAATGAATTTATTCTAACTCCACCTATTATAGCATTAAAAACTGTTTAAGCCACTTAATAAATAAATGGTAGCTTGGGTCACCTCTTGATGGATAATCATGTTTTCTCATTTGCAGTTTAAGTGCTAGAAGACAAAGTGACTTTAAAACTGCTCACCCAATTATCTGATAAGCAATTCCAAAGACTATACACACAAATGTAGAAACAGACCTCTTTATAAATGATGTCTGACAAGGAAAGAGATATTTGTGGCATAGGAGCTCTGGAAAATGTAATTATTTATCCTTTCACAATTAATGAAAGAAATTGAAATTGAAGCTTTCATTTCAAATCCTTTTTATCTGGATGAAACTTTAATTTTACATAATTAAATTGACTTCACAGTTCAGTGTGTTAAAATATGCAATTAAACAGCATATCAAGGTTAAATGCCTACAGTTGTTGGCTCATTTAGAAATCATGCTGCTGAAATCCTAAACAAGAAGGAACACCTGCCCATCCACTATTGTCCCCAGAGCCAGGGGCACACAGCCTGCAGGATTGGCTTCCCAGTTCATAGCAGAGGGCTGAGTTTTCTTGCATGTGCCAAATCCTGTATAAAGTCAGTTGGATTCCATACAGTGGGGTATTATTTTTTTTTGCATGAAAAAAAAAATCCTGGCACTTTGATGGAATTCCATAGATGATTAACCTTATCTTTAGAGAGATTTTCTCTAAGATAACACTTGCATCTTCAATGTCACTTTCAGTTTACTGAAAACATGTTAAATGTCCCTCCTTTCAATTTTCCCATTTCATACTTTATGATAGATTCAGCTAAGACTTTTTAAAAATGACCTTTGCACTCTTGGGAAAGGAGAGGCTTAAGAAGCATTGGGGAGGTGTAGAGGGGCTGCTGAAATGAGATTGTGGTGAGTTCACGGGAAATATATCTTGAGGTGGAGACTTTTATTTGTGTACCTCCTCCTTGTTTTCTCTTTGAATAGCATCTCTTTGTGATGATTGATTTATGGCTCAGGAGCATTTTAAATTCCCTTTCATCTTGGCTCTGTGAGTGAAGCATAGTTCAACAATTAGAACTGAGTTCCCTTCCCTTCCCTGATACATGCTAGAATTCATGAAACAATCATTTTAGTTTATCCACAGGGGTAGTTGTTGAGAAGCACTCATGGATCTAAGCAATATCGTTGCTATAAAAACACATGGAAAACGTGACTCTACACAGTGGCTTTTCCAGATAAATGGGGAGGCATGTTGTTGGATTAATTATAAAAACTAAAAAAAGAATATATGCCCATAATAGGTGATTTACTCCTTAGGCAGAACTTCTTCAATCTGGGGGTGTATGGTACAATTGCAAAATTATTCCCTCTATGATACTCCTACTATTTATAGAAGTAGGTTGATATGGTGATTGGTAGACCACAGAACTGTAAGACGATGGTGGAAGATAATGCAGTGTGTATGGTGATGTAACTGATAGAGGAATGTATGAAGGATTTATTCTCTGGAGCCAAGGTCTGAGATATGGCATTGCTGCTTCTATGACATCAGAGGGCACCATGGACTAACAAATTCTTTTAAAACTCTGAGCTAGAACTGGATTTGCCTTTGACTCATTGGATCACTCTGGAACCAACACGAGGCCTTGGCTACCAAGGGATATCTTAGTAGCTTTATCAGAAAAAACTAATAGTGAGAAAAATGTTTTTAATAATGAAAATTTATGTTAATACATTCATACAAATTGCAAATTTATCCATTTATGTATAATAAATTTCATAATAAGAAGTTATTCTAATATTTTAATTTAACCCAATCTGTCTTTCCTTAGGATACTGATGACACTTAGTTTTGGTTATTGCATCTGCTTAAAAGCTATCAAACTATTAAACTACTACTAATAAACTACTATTTAGTGAAACTATGTTCCCACACACAACATAAAAAAAAAAAAACCACTGATTGGATCATTGATTGGTCTTTTGTCAAACAAGCTGACTTTGAAAGTTTCAACATTGAACAAATGTTTAAATGATAAACAATAAAGGCTGCTTTGTAAAGCAACTGTAGACCTTGTACCATTTCTTAGAAACAGGCAGGTTTGATTAGATTTTGTGTGAGGCTCAGAAATCTTGGTCTGATTTTATACAGACCAAGTATAGCATGAGGGCCTGACATGCCTTCATAAGAGAGCTATTTGCATCTTCCATCTTGCATAATGTAAGAGTCTTACATTAAGGACTGTGGATTGAGAAATGAAAAGGCAGTGTCATTGAAATGTTTCATCAACGTGGCCTGATGCTCTCTGTTGCTTTATTGGTTCTATTTGATCTGATGTGGATGAACTGCTACTGATTTTAGACCTTCAGAACACACTGGAAGAAATATGCAAAATGGAGGAGATGGAGAACATAGAAAAAATCATACAGTGATAATCCCTAAACCTTACATCAGTCTCTTTTTTCTTTCCCATCCAAATATTTACCCACATGTTCCCTCCTAATGATAGTTTCCTTAATGAAGATTCAGAAGGGATCAGACATCAATATTTAACTGAATCAACTAGGAGAACAGACCCATTTTGAAAACTGTGGAGTATGTATTCTATAATCCTGGCTGCTCCTTTCTGAAGCATGAATTGGAATGCTTAATGACCAAGTAAAAATGTTCCTGCTTTTGTTATTCCCCCCTCTTTTTCTGAATTTTCTTGTATTTGTGGCCAAGGATATCTAGGTCATTAAAAGTTCTCAATATAACTTTGAGCTTAGGGAACAAATGCACTCTGGTCCACTACTGGGCAGCAATGGAAACCAAGTATTTGCAGAACATGGTGGTCTTTTATTTAATTCATTGTTTCAGGAAACGTGATTTGTTCTAAGTTGAGGTCTCCTTGCCATTAAATCTGAAGTGAACTAGACAGAGAACTGTATACATTCAACAAGCCACAAAGACAACAAGAAAACCACATTAGTGAGTACGTGTGAATGTGCTAAATGTACAACATAAATTAAAGTGTAATGATTATCTTCATATTGTCTTTTTTTTTTAATATACAAAGGGCAACTCTGAGAGGGAGGTAGTTTTGTTTATAGGATGACTCCCCTGTGAATAAGTTGCTTTTGAGTTTGGAGTATTTTTGATAGGACTAAGTAAACTCACACACGTTCTGTCTGTATCTCAGGGAGCTAAGGTTTGCGGATGCTGCTGTTCTCCTGAACTGCTCCATTTTACCTCTTCACACTTTACAAGCATCAAACAGTGATGGTCTGAATATGAAGCCTGCCACGCAATCATTACATGTGACATTTATGTAGAAATTAATATTGGCTTACATTGGCGACCTGTTAAAGCGATTTTTGAAATTAGCAACTTCTTGAAAAATAAACAAAATTTCACAATTCAAGCATGGATTTAGTTTCCAGTTAGGAAAAATGCTAGTAGAAGGAGCCATTCAGCTGAAGGTGCTGATATAAGTTCAAAGTTTTAAAGTTCAGAGATAACATAAAGAAAACAGGCACATGGACTTAAGTCTGTAACAAAACCTTGACATAAAAATTCTGTTCTAAAAACTGTAAAATCAAGAGTCATCTTGAATAATGACTTGCTACCTCTTATTCACCCACTGTAACATATTTATGCATTTACTCACCAGTCCTGCTTTCTGTGCTAGTTTCTTTGTGTTTCAATGGGCAATTCCTTTTGAAAAGATATCTGAGGACATTTGATTATCCAGATAACAAGTTTAAAATCCAGCTAACTTAACTACTGTAAACTCTAACTGCAACTCTTTGGGACCAGTGTCACTGCTTGTCTCTGAGATGATGAGTTTGAATTCAAATAAAGTGATTGTGATGACTTTAGAGATTTCCCAGACATTCATTGAACCCTGGAAAATAACTGAACACACAGAAACACTTCCCATTCAACTAAATGGACTCCCCCACAATGTTTCATCTTAGCCATTAACTGATGGCAAACCTGAACTCAGAGAACAAGAGAACAAGAAACTGGAAAAATGCATTTAAATAATAACAGACTTAGGCAGCCACAGAGAGATGCCTCAGAAAGTTAAGTGTTTGTGCAAATTTCTATAGTTAAGTCTGAGGGAAAGTCTGGTAATTAGACAGTATTAACAGAACAGCAAACTAGAACCAGAGGGAAGCACTAGTAACTTCATGGGAAAGAATGAGAGTACTTTTTTTTTTTTTTTGTGCATACAGTGAGAGCTCCCTAACGGGATCTCACCTTTGTTTTCTGCCTTCAGTTCCTCTGCCATCAAGCTGTCTTGTCGGTTACCAAGCACAAATGCTAGAAACGAGAGGATCAGCGCATCCAAAATTCCAATAATAGCCAGGATGTATGCCCAGCGGACTGAACAAGCCCCAAGAGTGTACTTGTCTGTTTTGTCTCCACACATCCGCTTTACTTCATCTGAATCCCAGCCATCAGGGAAAATCATACAGCCGAGCACAAGGCAGGCAGCTTGAAGAGAGAGAGAGAGGGGAAAAAACAAAACAACAAAAAGTTAGCATTTTATTTTAGCAAATATTTCCATTGTTGGTCAAACCATTATTTAAAATCCATCTTGAGGTAGACAGCAACAAACCTCATCACTGTTCCACTCTGAGCCCTTGGGCACGTGTGTGTGTGTGTGTGTGTGTGTGTGTATGTATGTCTTCCTGGTAAACTTGAAAGCAGCCCAGCCTCTGCAGCAGAGAGGACTCTGGGAATGTACTTTATGGTAAGCCCATGCATTCTGAGAGGCTAAGGTAGATTGATATATGAGAAAATATTAAGAAACTGGATTTTTGGGTACATTTTTGGGGAGGCTTCTATTGCAAATAGACCATTAGGAATTCTAACACTGCAGAACGGCAATTCAAGGCTGGCTTTGAAGAGCTATGACAGTAGCCAGATAAGGGATTAGGATAACATGGAAAGTACCAGGGTGTGTATTGACTTTGAATCACTGTGAAAAGTACATTGACATTGTGATCCACCCCTACTCCTACAGCAAGATTCACTTTATTTGGGGCAGTGCAGAAGATCTTTGAATCTGAACTATAGTTTGGAGAAACACTTCTAAATTAGTTGGCGTATTTTAAATATATTTGAAATGATTTTTTTTATGTAGTAAATACTTTTTGTTTTTGATGATACTAGGCATCAAACATAAGGTTTCTTGTTATGCTAGCAAGTGCACTACCACTGAGCCACATCCTCAGTCCTTTTTATTTTTTGAGATAGGGTCTCACTAAGTGGCTGAGGCTGGGCTAGAATTTGTGATCCTCTTGCCTCAGCTATTGCTGGGATTACAGGTGTGTAATCCATACCCAGCTAGTAAATACATTTTATCTGCAAGACAATACTTTCTTATATAAAAAAACGGGGAGTACCTGAAGAATAACGTAGGTCACAGTAGAGCTAAAATTAATAGAAATCACGAAATGACCCAAGCTCAGACAGGTTATTGGGCCTAATAGGACAACTTCACCACAGCAGGGTGTTTGTAGAATGGTGACATTAACGAAGACACATTTGCTCAAGGTCTTCCTGTCCTAAGGGTAGACTATCTTTAAGATTTACATTCCTGGGAACTCTTGAGTTATAAATTGAAATGAAAAGAACTGAAGTAGAATTAACACTCAGAAACTAAAACCACAGGAAAATATGCATGACAATCCATGGTTCCCTATTTTCAAAGTATATGGCTTGTTCAATAAAATTTTAAGTGAAGAATATGGGAAGATAGATAAAATAATTTCTAACTATATCTTATGCAAAGGGTATTTTGCTGAAAGTTGTAAATTCAGGATTGAACCCAGGGGCACTCAACTACTAAGCCATATACCCAGCTGGTTTTTGATATTTTATTTAAAGATAGGGTCTTGCTGAGTTGCTTAGGGTCTCACTAAATTGCTGAGGCTGGCTTTGAACCTGTGATCTTCCTGCCTCAGCCTCCCAAGCCACTGGGATTACAGACATATACCACCTCGCCTGGCTAAACACAGAATTTTTGAAACACAATATTTATTTTTCACAATCTAAGGAAACTGGATGTTTAGAGACATCTTAAAACTTCACTAACAATGCCAGGATTTGGGGTTCCTACAGAAAAATATTTAGGTCTGTTTAGCAAGGGAAGCCTAGGTCTCCTTTAGGCTACGGGACACTATAAAATGTCCAGGTTGTCCATCTGCTTCTTATCAACTTTTCCTTGTCATGAGGGATTTGAGCCCTAATTTATCTGACTAGAAAATCTACATAGTTATCTCGTAGGATCAAAACATCCTCGCAAATGCATTAAAAACTTTAAAAACGTTATGGCTCTGGCATGAGTTTTTTCTTTTTGGGGATGTTCATCAAACATACATTTTCTTCTCCCGATCCTTCTACTGGACTGTTTTGTTTTGTCTTTGAAAGCAAGTCTCCCAAACTTTAGTATATTTGATTTAAGCCATTAAAGTAGTTCTGACTCTGTTGCTTTCTTCAGAATGGCATGACTATTATCTTCTGCATTAATGCTTGAGTGCTATAATAATTCTGTTTTCTGGCATTCTATTAACCAGCACCTTTTTAACCTGCATGATTTGCATAGCCACTAGAAACTAACAGCTGCTCCCAATCCTGAGAAGTACCTGCAAGATTCCTCTCAGTCAATGAAAGATTAAATAATATTCCTCTTGGCTTCATAATTATTTCAATTCTTTACAAATTGATCAACTCTCAGATGTAGCACCAACACTGAACAGTAGAGTAATATGTTTTAGCAGCCTTTTCACTGCTGTGACTAAAGGGAGAAAAGTTTACTTGAGGGCTCAAGGTTTCAGAGCTCTTAGTCCACAGAAGGCCTGCTCCATTCTGGGATCAAAGTGAGGCAGAACATCATGGCGGAAGAGTGTGGCAAAGCAGATCACATGATGATCAGAGAGCAGAGACTCTACTCTCCAGATACCAAATATATACCCCCAAAGGCATGCCCCCAATGCTCCACCTCCTCCAGCCATACCCTACCAGCTTTCAGTTACCACTCAGTTAATCCTTATCAGGGGATTAATTCACCAATTGGGTTAAGGCTCTCAAAACCCAATCATTTTTGTCTCGCCTGTGAGCTTTTGGGGGACACCTCACATCTAAACCATAACAGTATACAAGGCACCAGAACATTTGATTAATTCACACAGGCTATTTCTTGACCACAAGGGATAATGGAAAATTAGTTCCAATTGAGCTATTATCCCAAAATGGGTTTCTTATTAGAATGCCACCCAGGAAATGACTATCTTCCTTGCAGTTATATATTCCTTCTTCTTGGCAGCAGGTTTCCTGAAAGTATATCAGAGAACATTCTTGAATGCTGAGGAGACATGATCCCTCACAAGCTGGAGGTGAACAGGGAATGATGAACAGATGGGCTTCCTGTATGCTGCCATGATATCTTCTAATCTAGAATATATAACAAAGGTGTCCTTGTGAGGGTGTCACTGTTGATTTTCATTTTAAGCATGTTCCAAATGGTTAAGAAGTGTTCACATTCTAAAAGGAAGCCCTGTGCAGAGCCTGCCCACCCCACAATGGGCTCTTCTGAAAGAGTACACAAATGGCTAATGGTTCCCCAGGGCCACTAATTGCCCTGGCATTTTTTTTTTGCTAAAGAGCTGAATGTAATCTCTGTGGAAAAATCCACGAACCTTGGTAATTGGGTCTTTCTCCAAAAGAAAATGAAGTAAGATGAAAAAAGCAACAGGGGGGTCTATGACTTGAGTTACTTGGGCCAGCTAATATTGCTGGTCCAACTATCCCAATCAGGGCTTTTAGTGTTGTGAACCTGAGAACTGCTTATTTTTTTTGAACAGGAAGAGAAAGTCTAAATTCATTCTTTATAAAGTCTATGCACTGTTGCACAAAAAGCATGATAAATTGCCTCATGTTGCTGAAGCACTCAAGGGGAACTTGGTGAAAAAAGGAACCTGCATTCACTTGATTCTATCAATTATTCAAGCATACAGTAGTTGAAGAAATTGATGCCAACAAACGCTGCCAGGCTATGGAGGGGGAACTTTCACACAAGGATTGTTACTCTAAACACCTGGTAAAAGAGATAGACAACTCGTTCTCCCAGCTTCTTCATCAGCTCATGGCTGACAAAATGGAGCAATACGAGTTTTCTGGAAAAAGGTACAATATTTTTGCCTTAGTTTACTTCTAGAAAAATGGAGTCCCTAGATAACCCGGGACATGATATTCTATCCTTTAGTGTGTGGTGGAGAAAACAAATTGTGTCTTGAAAAATTTTGGTTTAAAACCAATATAATTTTATGGGGATTTAACTTGGGGTCATGAAAAATATGACAACCCTTAGATTGATGGGGGGTATTCAGAGAAAATATAAATAAACACTGAACTCTCCAAAGAATTAGAAAGTTGTGTTTGGTGATGAGAAAGTCTCTGTATTCTGCCAAGCTACTCATTTGCCTGAAGAAGCACATAGTGCTGAGTTAGCTGTGAAAACCTGGATCATGGTGGTAAGCAGATGATTAAAAGTCCATCCAGACATGCATGGATGAGCTACATAGTAAGTGAAGAAATATATTTTACAGAATATGATACCAAACAAGTGGGAAAATGCTTACTTGTGTAATATCACTTGCTAATCTGCCCAAGTTTGAGGGTTAATAGCCAAATATAATGAAAATCAGAATTTAGGATGTAAAAAGTTAAATGTACCTCTGGTCTCTAAGCACTGCTAGATGACCTTTGATATAGACTAGGGTCCAAATTCCTTGAAATACTGACACTCTGGGGTCAGGCTCTGCCTTTTATAATGACTTACTTTTGGGAAGACTCACTCTAGGAGACCAGTACTCCCTTTCTAGGGCAGGTCCCCCACTGACCCTAGGCCTTTCACTAGGCCCCATCTCTTACAAAGTACTACTCTGACATCACCACACTGGGGACCAAGCCTCCAACACGTGAATACATAGCACTGACCAAGACTAGGAAGATAAGCATGCCTAATTCTGAGATACAGGTGAGGAAGTTCTTTTGGCCAAAGGATTTTATAATCTAGCCTTTCTTATAATAAAGGAACTAGTTTAATTTCCATCTGACAGCTCCTCACTATCTCTCAGCTGGCTCATACCTCAGGAAGAGGGATAGAGGATTGCCATTCTTTGTTTCTTTGCCAACATTGATTTTATTTATTACTATTATTTTTACATATGAATAAACGAAGATGCAGAAATTTTAAATAGCTTACTCAATACAAAGCCCCCTTGTTGTAGAACCAGGATTTGAACTTGACTATGCTATAATCCTCCACATGTACACAATAACAGTGCATGTGAAGTCACTTTAGACTATTGATTTTGGTACTCAGAACAGATAGAATCTTGGCAGGCTTAACATCGCTTTGGATATTTATAATTAGAAATTTATTTGAGTGTGACAACTACTAAAATGAAAGTGACACTTAAAAGCTG